ATCCTCTTGCGCTCAATTTATGTTGACTCCTCTTCTATTCGCTATTCTTAGGACTTTCACTTAGTGGGGGTTTAAAACCCCCGCTATCTTATTCATATTTTGCAGGTAAACGAAGAAGAAGACAGGCGTGTCATCACATGATTGGGGAGTTCAAAATCTGGCGCGTTTTCGTTTGTTCTATACCATTAGTGCTTTTTTTTTATATTAATTGTTGTCCACTCATATGACAAACGCGCTTGAATGGCTGGATGGTGGATGACACGCTTGGCAAACGCTGGGACCTGGGTTCGATTCCCATGTCCCCCCATATATTCTTCATATTTTTCTTAACGCTTTCAGGTGTAGCGCTTCTCAAACGTTCCATGATACACCCTCACGCGTTGGCTTGCCAGATGTCCTGATCAATAATCCAATGGCTGCAGAACGAAGTCCATCATATGGTCCAGTCAATGAGTATCCACACAACCAGAAAAGTCAAAGATGGCCTTGTGTTCATGGGCCTGAATTCCTCAAACAAACCTCCACATGGGCCAGACACCCCCCTTTGTTTGTATATTTAATTTATTTTCTTTTCTTTCTAATTCTTTTTAATTGTTTTTATTGTTTTTATTAATTCACCATTAATTAACTTTTCATAATAAAATCAGAAAATCAAAATACAAAATATGTTTAATTATTTATTAATTTCCTCACTAATTTATTTTTGTAAATAAATGTTAATAACTAATCTAGTTTAAATTAGGTTTTAATTCTAATACTTTTCTTAATAAATAAAAAAATACATAGAATTAGGTTTTTGACATTTTTATCTTTTTCTTAATTAATTACTTTCATCATTATTTATCATTATTAATTACTATTATTTTTGTAAATAACATGTAAATTAATTAATTAGCTTAAATTAGGTTAACTTTAATATTTTCATTAATAATTAAAATAATTTAGAACTAGGGTTTCACTAACTTTAATTTTAATTCCTTTTTTTCTTTATTTCTATTAAATACAAAAAAAAAACATAAAAACACTTTCTTTCCTTTAAATAATTAATTAGGTATTAATTTCATTTAATTTCTCAAAAGGGTCCAACACCCTCGGACGTCCAATTTTATGCTTTCGCACGTTATCATTATTTTCTTATAGATTATTATGTAACTGCTTTCCGGATGTAATAGTAATTAGGTAATTTTTTTTTACTTTCCGCATTTTTTTATCAAAAACGAGTCTTTGTACTTTGGCGATGTATAGACCCGCGCCTTGTAATAGCGTAGCTTTTACCTTTCCGTCTTTTAATTTTCCGCACTCCTAACTGCTAAATTTGCATGAAAGAATGTATGCCAATTAAAAATAACTCATAGCTCACAATGCCCTGATCAAAGATAAATATTATGAAAACAACACACAATACACACACCACTTCTAGGGTACGCCTCACTCGTTGCCTTCGAAACGTGGTCGTCAAGTATAGGACGTTTTAGCGGTCGCTCTTATGTCCATGATCCAGTTGCCTCGAAACGGTTGCCTCGGATTAAAAAAGGGATCTAGGACATTAGGGTAGCTTCTAAGGTGTCCTACTGTTGCTTCGGTGACCACACTGTCCCTACAATCGAATTGACCTGAACACCTCCAACGGTGGTGCTACCTACCTCTCAATGGTGGGGATGGCACTACCTAAAGGACACTTACACAGCTTAATTCCTTAGGGTAGGTAGATGACTCATAGATACTTGCTCTTTTCAAAAACAAACAAAAATACTTTTCACACCTTACACTTTCAAAAGCTTTCAAAACAAATTTTTCAAACACTCTTGAGGACAGATACAAGAGTTATTCAGAAATCTTTCAAAGAAACTTTTTCAAGCCCACACACATTTGAAAAGCAAACATTTTTGAAAACATAAGAGCAAGTACCTAAGAGCCCGTGGATAACCACGGATAGAAAGGGTGCTAACACCTTCCCTTTCTATAAATCTACCTCCCGAACCGAGAAACATTCTCAAAAAGGAATTTTGCTGTGCTTTTGTCCTTTCCATGTTGGAGAACATAAAAGACGGTGGCGACTCTTGCTTACCGCGACATTTTGCGAAACCAGCTAAAAACAGTCAGTTCTATTTCCACCGATCACAGAACTGGCGACTCTGCTGGGGATAACTTAAAGTGAGGTGTACCTTAGGATAGATCATACTTATGTTTTCAATTGCCTGATTTGTGTGCTTTATTATTATTGGGCCTGTCTTGGGAGTTCTATAGATCCTAACCTGGATCTGGGGGATACCTTCTTAGAAAGTAGCAACAAGACTGTGAGGGAACTGTGCGGGGTATACCGACACAGTTGAAGCAGTCTGCTACGTTGATGTGGCACTTTGGTGAGTACCGATAACCCTTGAGTCAAGTCAAGGAGAGTACGGGGTCGTCGCGTGGTGTCGTGAAGCATCAACTGACCTTAGGAACCTTAATTGAACCATCCTGGCCTCTTTAGGGGTAGTGAGATAACTGACTTTGGTGCAGTCCGAAGTTGGTTGATACTCGATACTACACTCATTTAGGGTTGTTTTCTTGGAATATTTTGATCGCCAGTTCAGTGGCTAAATCGAAACAATGAACACAGAAAACAACCCAATGATATTGAGCTCCTTAGAACCCAGTTACTTTTGATAGGACAGGTTTTGAGCCCACCAACTTCAAGAGGGTAGTATCCCAAACTTCATGCTGGCCTAAACTCTAAGGGCTCTCTGTGTGACTTGTGTGCCTTCAAACTTGAATTACTTGCATGCTTGTTATCTGACACATGAGTTCCTTGCAGGTTTTGTTTACAGTCCTTAATTGGGACTCATTACAGGGCCTACTTACATCTAGGGATGTCAATGGGGCGGGGCGGGGCCGGGGGGACACTTCCCCATCTTTTTCCCCGCCATCAAATTCATTCCCCGTCCCCGTCCCCGATCTCCGTCACGGGGGAATTTCTATCCCCATCCCCGTTCCCCGCGGATCCCCGTTCCCCGCGGGGATCCCCATAGATCCTACATTTATTCATTAATATTTTATTTTTTTTAAATGTTTATATTTTCTATAAAAATGAAAAGCACAAAGAATTCACATATTTATTATGTTATTAAAAAATACTAGTATTTGACATTTATTATTTTTTATTAAAAATACTAATGGAACACAAAATAATAATATTATTTTTATAAATTTCTATAAAATGCTATAAAATTCAACAAAATGAACTATAATACTTTTTAAAGTAACAATATGCCTAAACAACTAAAAAAATCCAACAACATAATTATGCTTAAAAAACTATACTTCATCAAAACTAATAAGGGATAATTATAAAATTTAGCATCATGAGTATGCTTGAAAAGCTAAAAAATACTTCATAATAAGTCAACTAAAAGCAAAAGTCAACATATCTCTATTTGCTCAATTGATAACACACGTAAAGTAGAAATATCAAAATACTTAAAACAAAGTTACATATAAATAAACTAAAATATTAAGCAAAATATCCAAACAAGTAATGATCAATCATGTCTCTCTTTCCAACTTCTCCTTGCAAGGTCTTCTTCCTCATTCCACAATTAGATATGACTTTCTTTTTCCTACGAAAAGTAAACAATCAATAATTATATTTACTTAAAAAAATACTTTAAAAACTAAAAGGTAATCAACACTAATATGTAAATTACCTTATTATCATCATCATCATCATCATCATCATCCATATCTTCATCCACACATTCGAATTGAGTCAACGTTTTTGAATAACCTAAGAAACAAATAGCTAAATTAAAATTTAAAAATCCTTTTCAATTAATCTTGTAAAAGATAAAAATATATTACCTTTTATATCTTTTCGGATCCAATCTTGAGTGCACATCAAAGCCTCTAAAGTGTCTTCCTTCAACCTACTACGTTGTTGACTTAAAACACGACCACTAGTACTAAAGGCGGACTCTGAAGCAACAGTAGAGATAGGAATTGCTAAAAAGTCCCTTGCAATCTTTTTCAAAGTTGGAAATTTCAAACCATTTTGTTTCCACCATCCTAAGATGTCAAAATTTTCCTTTTTTTGTTTATCAAGCAAGACACCATCTTCCAAGTAGGAAGTAAATTCTGACTTGACATTTGTAGTTGAAGTATTTTCCATCACATATTCCGAATAAGCCTTCTCCCAATCTTGACTTGTGACATCAATGTCATCTACCAATGTTGATGCACCAACTTCACTACTTGTAGGAACCATATCATTATTTGGTTGATATTCTTCAACTAAATCTTCACACATTTGTATTACCTTTTCCAATTCTTTGGGAGCATTATTCCCATACATAAGTGGGAAGAAGTAATTCAACAAAGTTATTTTATATCTAGGATCCAAAACAGCCCCTATTGCCATCACCCCATTAATCAAACTCCAATATTTGTCAAACTTCACTATCATACTTCTTGCCATACTTTGTATAGTATCACTAGAAGAATCTTCCCACTTTCTTAAAGCTAATCTTATTTGACAAACTTTGGGAAAATAAATGTTTGATGTTGGATACTTAGTACCCGAGAACAACTCAGTGACACTAAAAAATAATTTCAACTTGTCACAAATTTCTCTTGCCATTTTCCAATCTTCTTCACTTGGTGCACACTTATATTGGGAATCACGGCGTTGTTTTAAACGTTTAAAAACTTGTTCGTAAGGCAATGCAGAAGCAAGCATTAAATAAGTAGAGTTCCATCTTGTTCTACAATCTTGTGCAAGCTTCTTTTCATAAGTCATGTTCAATTGATTACAAGTTTCTTTAAATTTCTCCTCCCTCTTTGGTGTTGCTACCCAAAAACCGACACTTTCCCTAATCTTTTCAATTGAACTAGAAATTGTTTGCATGCCATCTTTCACTATCAAGTTTAATATGTGGGCGCAACAACGCATATGAAACAATTTCCCTTTTAAAATAAAAGAAGAAGGTGACATCTTATCAATCAAATGGTCAATCAGAGCATCATTGGTGCTACAATTATCAACGGTTAATGTTGACAATTTTCTATCAATATTCCAATCCATCAAACAATCTACCAAAAAATCACAAATGACCTCAGCAGTATGTGGCGTAGGGACATAAATGAACCTAAAAATAAATTATAATAAATATCACATAAAATAACTATATTATAATAATAACGTAAATGGAAGGGAGAAGTTACCTGATGATCCGATTCTGCAAAATCCAATTTTCATCAATGTAATGAGCTGTAACAGACATATATCCTTTGTTCTGGTTGCTAGCAGTCCACATATCAGTAGTTATTGCAATGCGGCTTTTATTCTTTGCAAGTATTTTCATTTGCTTTGACTTCTCACTTTCATACAACTTCATTATATCATTCTTCATAGTGTTGCGAGAAACTATCTTGAACAAAGGTTGAAGAGAATGGCTATAATTTCTAAAACCAATATGGTTAACCATCATGATGGGATATTCATGCAATATAATCATCTTCGCGAGTTCATTCCTAGAAACATCTTGATTAAATGTATAATTTCCAACCACAAATGATTCATGTCTGTTTCCGGATTTTTTTTCTGTCACTTTAAGCATGGCTTGTTTTGGACCTCTCTCTGTGCGTTTTGGACATATGCTAATATGATCAAATAAATGTTTAGTACCATTTTTTGTATCACCACCAATTTTCTTATCACAAGATTTGCATATAGCCTTCCAAATGCCTCCTATTTTTTTCCTTTTAAAATAGGGCCAAGCATCTGATTTTAATCCCCTTTTGTTAGGACTTGTAGTGGGTTCAACGGGAGCTTCAGGATCTTGATTTTCTATATTTATTTCATTTGGAGTAGATTGAACTTCCTGTGTGGGTGAAACTACACTACTTTCTATAGGAACTTCATTCCCTTCCAAAGCAACATTAGGACTATTAGATGATTGAACTTCACCAACCATTCTTTTACCAAAAACCTGGCACACACAAACACAAATTTTAAAAGGCTACATGGAAGTAGAACAAAAATAATAAATATATGAAAAAATAATAAATAAATGAAATAGTAAATACATGAAATTCACACAAAAAATAATTAATAAGAAAAATCTTATATTTCTAAATATATGATGCATTACACATATTTCTAAATATGCCTTATTTACTGTAACTTTTCAATTAGAAATAATAACATATATTAATTAATTATATACATTGAGAATACATTTATTTACCTATATACATGATATATTTACTCGTGTAAAAAGTTATATGTTATTATTTCACTTAATGGCTTTGGTTTTATAATTAGAAATATAAGATATATATTTTTTTTATGGGTGATAGCATGATATATTATTGTTTATATGTTATTATTTCATTAATAATTAGAAATATAAGATATTTGGTTTTTTTTATGGGTGATACCGTGATAGCATGATATATTGATTCATTTAAAAAGTAATATTTTTTTGTTTAATATAGAAAATTAAATTATAGTGTGATATATTAATAAAAAATAGGAAAAGTATATTTTAATATTTTTTAAGGAAAAACTGACGACATTATTTTAATTACAAATGCATAGTATAGATAAAAAATGAACACAAAAATATTTAAAAGGAGATAAAAATGAGTAATTTTTTGATTATTTTATATTTTTTTAATATGCAAATGATTTGATAACTCTAAAATTTCTAAACAATTTAATTTAAATTTAATCAAAATAATCAACTTTTCCTATAAGCAATTACATGAACAGGTTTATGAGAATCAAGGAGAAACAATCTACTTTTTTCTATAAACAATAATATAAACAGATTTATGAGAATCAAAAAGAAATAATCTATTTTTTCCTATAAATAATTACATGAACAAATTTATGAAAATCAAACCTTATTGATGAAATTGTAAGAGCTGTGAATAATGGAAGCACACCAAATAGAGAAGATGGAATTGGAAGAGGAAGATGAATGGAGATTTGACTGGAGAAGAAAAAAAGGAGTCTAACGTGTGAGACTCTAAATGTCTGGCAGAAGAAAATGAAACGCTTCAACTTTTTTAGGGTCTAATATTTACATTTCTCTCTCTTAATAAATACATGAATATTTATTTATTTATTTTTATAAATAAACATAAAGGAAATGACTAAAAAACCTAATCTAAAATATATATATTAAATTAACTATATTAAAATAATAGGCGGGGCGGGGTCCCCGCGGGGCGGGGGGTGTATTCCCCGTCCCCGTCCCCGAAATGCTCTCGGGGGAATTTTTCTCCCCATCCCCGCCCCCACGGGGGAAAATTCCCCATCTTTGGGGCCCCGAACGGGGCGTTCCCCGCGGGGATCCCCATTAACAGGTCCAAACTGACATCCCTACTTACATCACTCCATGCATAGCATAACACCATACCATTGCATACATCCTGCATAAGGACTAACCCATTTCAAGGATCTCAAGGGTCTGTGATGCAGGTCATGATGAACCAACTGTCTAGCAGGGGGCAAAGGGGATTTATTTTCCTCTAGCCAAGGTTGATGACTTGGGTCAGGGGCTATGACCCACTGGATATGGTGAGCCTTGACTCTTGAAGAAGGACTCGCAACAATATGAAGTTCCTTCCATCAAGATACCAGATTCAAATTCTAAACAATTTTCTTGTCTACCCCGTGAGATCCTTAAAAACATTGCATGCATACATACACATCATTGCATAACAGGTACCCTTGTTACAGGACACTTACCTTCTCCGCTGTTTATTTCAGCAATGGCTTCCCAACAAGATAACCAGGGTCTTCATGCTCAAGAGACTCAGTTCAGGGAGATCTTTTAAGCCTATCCAAGGGGCAAGAAGAGTTGAGGACACTCCTCATGGGGAACTTGGCCAAGAAAAGTCCCGAAGATGATAAGGACGAACAGCTGAAACGTCTGCAAGCTGAGGTAGATGCAATGAGGACTCAGATGCTAGGGCAGATGGCCCTTATCCAAAGTTTGGCTCGGGAGTAAGAAGAGTTGAAAGCCATGGTCAACCAGCTTCATCACGACAGATACAACATGAAGCAACCAGTCCAAGTCAGGAACCAGGTCACTGATCAGCTTCCGAGAGGACAAGGGTCTGGTATGGTGAAGATTAGACCTCTCCAAATTGCTACCACTTCACAGGTCCAACCACAACCTCGCCCAGAGCAACGGGTTGATTAGAGCAAGCCAGACAAGCCTAGGAGGCAATTTACCAAGCTCAACACGTCACTGTCTCAAGCCTTACAACGCATGTTGAGATTGAATCTGATCACACTAAGGGACCCTCCTAAGAATCCCAACAAGACACCTTCAAGGTACAACCCCAACGCCCGCTGCGCTTATCATTCGGACAGCCCGGGGCATGCCACAAACGACTGCTGTTCTCTGAAGAACAAGATCCAGGATCTGATTGATGAAGGAGCAGTGGAATTCACCCAAGATGGCCAGGCTGAGTTCTTCTACTATCCCTGCAAGATTCATCACCTGAAGTGACTAGTTCAAATTAGAAAACTTTTGTTCATTAGATTTTTCAAGTTGTAATTTTCTTTTGATTGTTCAAACAATTATTGTCATAGAAAACTTTATTACTTTATCAATGCATCGCATATGTCTGTTTTGAATCAATATATTTGCATTCGCTATATGCAAACTGTTTTCATATTTTTATGATGATCAACCCTGGGTTGAAAATTCTAAGCCTCTTGAGGGAGGATGACGAGAACAATACCACGATCTAAAGTATGCTTTTGAACAGACCCCGCTGATGAGGTACAGGCATTGTTTCAATTCCTAAACACTGGAGTTATAAGGCAGATAATCCCTCGTTAACCCCTTTGAGCCAAAGAAGTAGGAGTTTTTCTTTTCGAAAATTAAAACCCGTAATCATAACCTGGGGCAGGGTAGTTTTCTCAGTTGATCCGAATGCACAACGAATGGCACCAAAAAGTCCTTACAAAACAAAAGACAGTGATGGTTCTGAATAATCATAAAGATATGCAGTCATCATTTCTCAAAATAAACGCCCATTAAGTCAAAACCTATGAAGGAGACTTACAAAAATGGGGCATCCCGCTGACTGTAATCACAAAAGAAACAGTTCAGGCAAAAACAGGGATAACGAAATCAAAAAGAAGAGGTCCTACAAACCCTCAACCAAAAAAAGGAATGACTGCCTATTCAAAATAAATCGTCAATATCCGAACCATCACTGATATATCAAAGCAAAGATTCAACAAGGTCTAACGCACGATTAGCTGAGTTTAGGATTGAAGAACATCACGAAGAGCGGATGGGTACAAATAAAATTTGAGCCTTTATCCTTTGTTTCTTAAACCGTGAACCAGGCCACACTACAACCCCTAAAAAGTCCTAGCTAAAGCATGGGTTAGTTCGAAAGCATACTATTACGAAAGGTATCCTGACTCCTTAGGGCTTGCGGTAAAATAACGAGTTGACATCACAGTTTACAAAATTCACTTGTTTTTACTAAAAAAAAGATGCATTTTCAAAAATTTCGAAACAGACATAAGCTTTGCATTTTAAATAACATTGTTTGCATATGATTATTTGTTTGAACAACAGAGAAATTCGCACGAAGAATATCCGGTGAACAAAAATCTTCTCAACAAAAGCTCAAATAGAAGAAACACTTCCAACCAGGGGGCATGGCCTGATCATTGTCCATCATCTGGGGCAGTTAAGTCAAGATTCCGAGAATCTCTCAAAAGGCCAACCAGCTTGGGGCAAATCTCCATCTGGATCACTTGGGGCATTGGACGATCAAACGAAGATCTTCTGGTGGTACGACAACACAACACTATCAACAGGGGCACCTCCCTACATTCTGAGAGCGTGGACATAGTCGAAAAAGTACTACGCATAATCAAAGACCCGCTAGGTTGATGCACCTAGGCAAAAATAAGGGCTTCCCGACGAACCAAAAGGGTTCGGGCAAAAATAAGGGATGAAATGAAAAAAATTTGTACACCCGGCAAGTCGAAAACCTGAAAAGGCGGCTTGGGCACCCCAGTGGAGCCATTCCCCAGTACAGTTTAAAAGTCTCCCCAGGAGAACTCAATCAATCTCCCCAACAGATTCAGAAAGCTTATCCCCAGTAGATTCTGGAAGCTTATCACCTGCAGAGTACGTGCCTCCCAGGTTTTATTCAAAGGTTATTTCCCCACCAGGATATAACTGGGTTATCCTCAGCCAATTGCCACGGAAAGATCGTCCCCGGTGAAGTCTTCCTATCCCCAGCGGAGTTCATCAAATCTTCCAACAGAGCTCAACAATAGGAATCCCCAGCGGAGTTATCATCAACATCTCAGCAAAGTACCTCTCTCCCCGCAGAGTAATTCCCCGCAGAGTGATCTCTCCAGCAAAGTTTATTCCTCAACAGAGTCATCTTCTCCTACGGGTTTATTCTCGAAACCATCATCCCCAGCGGAAACAAGTTCTACTCTTCAAACATCAGCCCAGGATTCGACTTCCCGGCAACCGTCAAGGATTTATTTTCCTAGACAAAAATACATCCATAAACATATCACATTTTCATACATCCTGCTTACATACATTATAGCATGCACATACGCATCATAGACTTACAATCTCATTTATTTTGAGAACATCACGCATGTCATACATCATGACATTGCATACAACTAACGTTTTGTCTTTTCAGGACCAAGATCAATACAAAGATGATTACTATCAACTGTCGCAATTCCAGATTTGATACCTGTATCTAGCCAGGGCATATCTGTGAGCGATTATTTCCAGACTCGATTCCTGTATCCTGCCAGGGAACGTCTGAAGAGTTTGAAGATCTGATTCCCGTATCTTCCCAGGGTGTATCTGTTGACGACTATTTTCCGGACTCGATTCTTGTATCCTGCCAGGGCACGTCTGAAGAGTTTGAAGATCCGATTCTTGTATCTTGC